AACTCTGCTAGTATTTCTCAATTTTCGCCAACAGAACTCAACTTCTATGTAATAAAAATATCATTTTCTGAACCATGATCAAAAATCGAATCGAATGGTATGTATTTCTCAATTTTTACTTGATTTTCGTTTTTTTGATGGAAACCTCGATGATTTTTCAACATGAACATTTTAAAAAATTTAAAGTACTCGGATAGGATAGAGATACATATCCGTCGATTCGATTTTTGATCATGATTCAGAAAATGATATTTTTATTACATAGAAGTTGAGTTCTGTTGGCGAAAATTGAGAAATACTAGCAGAGTTCTGACTTTTCCCCTCTAATTTAGAAAAAATCCATGGTAACCAAGGTCACATAATACGAAGACATTGTCAAATTCCTACGTTTGTTCAGTTTTTAATTCTCTATCCAACCACGTTTGAACCGAGTCTTCATCTTTCAGCTGAGCTGAGCTACATTCACCTTAAAAAAAGTTGAATTTTTTAAATTTTAAATTAAATTGAAAAGTTGACATTTTGAGTTGAAGGCTTAGTTTTTTTTCAAAATGTTCGCCTTTCGACGTTGAATCCGAATATGCTATTTAAAATGTTCCATATCCTAATGGTGATTTTTAAAACACTTTTAATTCAACTACTGCAGCGCAAAAACTCCGGTTTTCTGTAACTCCTACTATCGAGAGTTTTGAACAAAACTTTCTAGATACGAAAAGAAAGAGAACCTCATGAAACCTCTAAACACTGAGTTTCATTGGGTTTGGTCTGGTGGTTTTGGAGATAGTCTAGACCAACTTTTTCGTGTAACACGCCTGTTATAAACAAAACCATTTAAATTTATATTTTCCATGTAATTCCTTAGAATTTATGTATCATACTACGCTCGAGATGTTCTAGAATTCCACACACGCCGAACGAAATGTCTAGAGTTCTGTATCAGATTTGGTTGTCGCCAAATTTTAGTTCTATAGTTCTTAAAGCCCTTGACATAAAAGATTTTCAACTCTTCGAAGTCATTCAGTGTGCTCGATACTTGGTTTTGACTTGAAAGAAAAGAATTTGTTGTTTCAAGAATGAGAACTATAAAACTAACTATTACTAATACTGAACTTCTTGATCAGTCGAACTTTTTAGAATTTTGTATCAATATGCCTGCCTTTGATATTTAATTCTACAGTTCTTACGCTTGATACAAAAAAATGACCTTATCTATAGGAGTTGCACTTCTTCAATTATTCTTTTGGATAATCAATTGGAATTTGCCTCTGTGATTATTTTGTAATTTCTATTCAAAATCCAGGATATAACAGACGCTGCACAGCACCTTCAATTTTCGTTTAATTCATTCACTAAGCCACCTCAACGGCATCGGGCCACTGTTGAAACTTGGAGAGGAAGATTAATCCTGAGAAACTATCCATATATTCTGTGATTCTAAGCAGAGTCAGTTTCCACTAAAGGTTGAGTGAACAATGGTATAGTAGGGATACATTACAAGGGCAAGACCCATCGGATACAATCACGCAAGAAATTAACAGTTCATATTTCTAATAGCATACTCGTGTTTTTTCCTCCGTGCAATATAGACTAGAGGAAAATACATCAGAAAATCATAGTACAACTCCCCGAAAAGGCATGACCATTGATAGCTAAAATAGATTTTCTATTTTTTCAGACATCTGTTACATCAAAAACAACGGATTGTGTGTCATGTATGAAACCTGTGCCGTCTGACATTTATAGAACTCATATTCAACAATGTGTAGCACGTAATGAACCTTCACCAGTTCATTCATCGAAGGAATTAGATGAGTTACTATGTAATTCATGTTTAAAAATTGTCGAAAAAGATTTCATACATGAAATACCGTGTCATTTTAAACATAAATATTGTGTTACATGTGAGTATCATACTTCTATTATTTTTTTTGACGAACGAAACTCATGCATGTGATCTATCTCTTGTGTGCTACGCCGTATAACTAGCCAGAAATGTAGTATCATTCGGATTACTAGACTCACAACAATTTTATGTGCTGTGCTGTCTCAGATTTTTCAAGGAATTTTTCTTTTTTTTATCTTTCAGGTTTAACAAAACAAGCTCAACAATATGTACGTGACAAGTCAGTACCTGTATGTCATCCAAAGAAATGCGACTATGAATTATCCAAACATGATATTGGTCGTATACCTTTAGTATTTGATATGTATCAAAAATTAGAAAAATTAGTTAAAGGTCAATCTCGTCCACAATGTGGAAAATGTTGGATGTATTTTGATGAGCTCGATAAACATCAAGAAGAATGCCAAGGATGTGAATGGTTAATACCCTGTGACTATTGTACATGTTTATATGACGCCAATAAATTGAATGAACATATCGCAGATTGTCAAAAACGAAAAAATGGACAATGGACAATAATTGAATTTATACAACAACGCACAAAATATCCACTTAGTGGAAAACAATTAGAATTATTTTTAAACAAACGAAAAAAAGATAAATTATCATTACATATTCCAGATATTATTGAAACATTAGCTGAATATGGTATGTTTTTAAATCAAATTTAATAAGCCGTAAATCAAAACATCACAGTCTAAATAATTTTTTTAATCCCAAACAAAACACGTTATAGCTTTAGTATAATTTTAGCTGCACTAGTGTTTTTTTTTAAGGTCCAATATTTCCGTTTGACATTCCAACTCGTGTATGTGATGTGTGCACGGATTCATGCACGTATGATGATATATTCGTGTTCGATTGTGAATCAAATCATAAATTATGCTATTCGTGTTACCATGACGGCATTAGAGCGAAGTTTAACAGTCAAGAGATACTCTGTTGTCCTTTATGCTCCGCTAATACAGCAAAGCCATTGTTAGATGGTGAGATAAATCAATTAAGGATACCAATAGAAGATATTCGAAAATATAAAGATTATCAAACACGTAAAACATTCGCCACATATTCGAATTCTACTCGTGGTGTTATTAAATGTCCAAATAGAGAATGTCAATGGTTAGTCGAAGCACATAATCCAGAAGAACGGTTTAAAGTTAATTGTGGTTTATGTAACAATGAATTTTGTTCATTATGTAATGAACAATATCATTATCGAACTAATTGTCAAGATGTTGCACAATTAACACAAAGATGGTATTTTTGGTGTCAAACTGGTAAGACTAACTTATTAAGCATTTAGCAGACCTTAAGATACCTAGAACACATATAGATAGTTGTGTAAAACTGACTCCTTTGCACGAGAATTCAAACATTAACCATTTTCTTTGCTTCTTTTTAGAGCGTGGTAATTATTTACGTCAACGTGCTGCAGCTGATGAGAAGTATCAGGGTCAATTGAATGAATATAATCGTGCTCGTGATCAAAATGTCAAACGTAATCAAGAATTACAGCACCGTTACACTGAGTTAGTAGCCGATGAACAATATAAAGCAACCAATTGTCGTTTATGTCCAAAATGTCGTCGTGTTGTACAAAAAATTGAAGGTAACAATAGATAACCATTGCATGCATATCGAGCATTTTTACTTTAGTTCAAAGGATGATCAAGAAACAAAAAGGCTTTATCAAGAGGACAGTTCGTGTTTTATACCCAATTAAAAAAGGATTTTTTCTGTACAGTTTGGATACTTTTCATTCTATACTCCTGACTTAGTTAATCTGACTCTTTTATAAAGATGCAACATGTCTTGTAAGCTAACGTAAGCTTTATATTTTTTCAATTTCTCAGCATAATTGAATTATTATTTTACTGCTACCTGAAAATTAATAACCATTTTGTATCCACAGTCTTTTGTCATTTTCGGTCAACATTCTTAGGAAGTACAATGCTTAAAGTTAAAAGATCTCCTTTCGCAAGAGCTAGATAGAGAGGCCCAAACGAACAGATATTATAAAATATCAATTATCAGTTGATATTTTATTCTGTTCTTTCTAACGTAGTTAAGCTTTGAAGGCATGAACTTTGCTACGCCACTGACAACCGAAGAAGCGTACATGGTCACTTCATCGATAATAACTAGAATAAAAATTAAGGTTCTTCAAAACTTGAAACACAGCTCTAATACTTTAGAAATTTTGTTTTAGGTTGTGATGCAATGGTATGTGGTCAAGATGCACATGGTGGCAACATACAATCGGGTTGTTCAAATAAATTTAATTGGTCACAAGCGCCAGTCTATCAAGCGCAGGCTGATCAACAACAAAAATTCGAGCAATTTTTAGCTGAAATGCCAAAACAACAAATTATTGATCATAACGGTATTCAGTGTGATAATTGTAAAGAAGAAATACGTGGAATACGATTTGTTTGTATTCATTGTCCAACACTAACATTTTGTGAAAAATGTGAACAACAACAGTCACTTGAACATCATAATGAAAACACGTTTAACGGAGAAAAACAACATGTTTTCAAATTAATCACAAAAAGAGGTGAAGAATAGTCCCGGTTTCTCTTTCTTTTTTATCATTGTAGTCAGTGATTGTTATTTGTTTATTGACAGAAAAGTAAAGCCTTATTGATATTTTTTTACTTACTGGTGATTCCTATACGCTTACAGTTCTTTTTATACAAAATATTTAATTTAGAAATAAAATTTATTGGAAGACAACGTGTTTATGCTAATTGTTAATTAGTGCATAATTGTAACTCAATTGAATAGAAATGTTTTAAAATCTAGTCAAAACTTAGAAAAAACTTCATTGATAGTTCTGAAAACTTTTCCATATAGGTAATTCGACGCCTTTTCCAATCTGTCCTTTATTTTCTAAAAATATTTAAAAGTTAAATAGTGGAGAATGCTATTTTGCGACCAAAAGTTGAAAAAAAAATTTGTGATCAAGAAATAGTTTTTCATTTCTAAATTTGATCGTCTGTGTTGTTTACAAAAATAAGTGATATTGTAAGGTACCGGAGATGCAAAGTTCGAGCAGATTTTGTTTTTCTTTTATTTATATATGGTTGAATAGAGCTTGATGACCTGATTATGAATATGTGGTTTTTAACTTTTTTAGACAAAGTATTAAATGAGAAAAATTGAAAAAACTCGGAGGATGTGAAATTTGAAAAAACGGCTTAGTTTCAAGAAATTTCAAATTTTCATCATTTGTGTTCCCTCAACTTTTCGAAAGTATTTTTTTCTGATTCAGCATTAAAAACTGAGTATGAGAATGATGCTTGATCGAGGTTGAATCCAAAGGCCTATCCATTATGGACGTCTTGAACTTTCCCTGGAAAAAGTTTATAAAAACTAATAACTAAAAGTTTATAACTACCTAATAAACTTAAAAGTTATAACTAACTAATTTTCTTTGTGGAGAGATGAAGCTGATCTTTTTTACTTCATTAAAACCACCATTACAGGAGCTTTAAAAGTACCTATCGCTTTTTTTTCCTTTATTACTAAAAAAATTCGTTTTTTCTAAATCAGGAGCGCAAACATCGAAATTCTTAATTGTCTTCATCATGACTCAACTTTTAAATAATAAAAGTATCATATTTGGAGTCAGTGTAAAAAAATTTCAAAAAAATAAGGTCGAAAAGGATCAAAAAGTACATAACTTTTTACGGGCAAAGTCCAAGACATCCATACTGGATAGATCTTTGGCTTCAACTTGGATCAAGCATCATTCTCATACTCAGTTTTTAATGCTGAATCAGAAAAAAATATTTTCGAAAAGTTGAGGGAATACAAATGACGAAAATCTGAAATTTTTTGAAACTAAGCCGTTTTTTCAAACTTCACATCCTTCAACTTTTTTCATTTTTCTCACTTAAAACTTTCTCTAAAAAAGTCTGCTCGAATTTTGCATTTCCGGCACCTTTGATATCCATATTTTATTTATAATTCATTTAAACATTAATTAAGTCGATTTCTCATTTTGTACAAAATGAAAAAGAACAAGTATTCATTTGTTTCATCAACTACGGTTAAAAAGCCAGATCATAATAATGAAATCGAGACGAAATTTTTCAAAAACTGTATCAAAAGTTGGAGAGGTCGACAACCCAACTCACTGCACCGTCTCATCGATATGATACAAGCTTTTAGTACTACTAGAACCGTTGAAGCAAACGTCTTCTCTGGCTGTTCAAAATCATCAGATGATTTGTTTTTTCATTGTCATTCATGACCAATATCGATATTTTTAGTTTCACATATAATTATTTCTGTTTTATTACAGATAATGGGTAGTCGAACTATTTTCTTAACCGAGATTTTTTTTAAAATATCACCTAGTTTATTTCATGTGTCATTGCATGTTAAATATCTAGCCTATAAAAATGTTGCGTCTACAATTATTGACATCAATATACATTTATATAATTGTATGGTAATCTCGTTGGACCTCTGCAAAATTTTACAAAACTGAACAATCTGAATTTGGAAAATTTTTTTCTTGGTCTGCATCTATACCTGTTGGATTGATAATATAAAATCTGGAGTCTCTTGGAAACTAGAAAGAACGTGACAGATTCGGAGTAACACGTGTATTGTGTAAAGTAGACATGCAACGGTTACAGTTATTAACCATTAACCGTAACCGGTCATAACCGCTTTATAACAACTTAGTGTATACTTGGTTTTTAGTTCTTTGATGTCGGTTTATATTAGAAGTAGAGAAGGATGGTCTTTGTCCAGACGTTAGTGCATCTACTATAGTGACATGGATGCACTTCAAACCTGTGTGGTACTCAAGCAGAGATGGGCGAGTCCGAGTCACGACTCGGACTCGAGTCACATTTTTCTGTGACTCGGACTCGAACTCGGACTCGAGAATCTTGATAAACTGACTCGAGTCACTTTCCAGTCAGTCACGTGCAACTTTACATTATTATGAGGATGTTAAACATATTTGTTATATACTATCAGAGAAAGAGAGAGATTTGAGAATATTCTAAATAGAACATCGCGTCACACGAGAGGATTGAAGACCTAGAAGAATGAGTAAAAACGAATGCTTAAAACAACAGCAGTGTGTAGTAAGCTGTCTTGAAAAAATGAATCGAGAGGAAGACTACCACTAGAAAATGACTCGAGGTGACTCGAGTCAATTTTTTATGATACTCGGACTCGAATCTGGACTCGAAGCCTGCTGACTCGGACTCGAAAAAATGGTGACTCGCCCATCGCTGTACTCAAGTTCATTAGATGAAATGCTGAGATTCATGATGAAAAAGTGGAAGATTTTGTTTAAAAAAGCCAAATTACTCTGACAAACAGTGGTTGATGAGATATTCACCGATGCCGGTACTTAACAGCCGTTTTTGTGCACCATAACGTCAGGACAAAGACCATCCTTGTCCACTTCTAATGTAAACCGACATCAAAGAACTAAAAATCAAACATACACTAAGTGGTAATAAAACGGTTATTTACGGTTATGGTTATGACCGTTGTATGTCTAGTGTAAAGGGAAGTTTGTATTGTCGAATTTATTGCTTCGACGATTAATTTCCTATCTATCAACCTTGCTCGATATTTTTGTTCCACACAGTAGTAATAAAGCTATTTCCAAGCATATTACAAGCGAAAAATACAACTTTGCTCGAATATACATAGTTAGTTAATAGTTTAGTGACTCTAATTTAGAGTAATTGTATTTCTAGAAAACTTTCTGGATTAAAAAAATGTTAAGATATTCCGGGTATCCGCGGGTACGGGTATAAAAATTTTAAAAGTACGGGTATAGGTCGAGCTTGTATCACCACTGTCTTACATCTGAACGAGTACGAGTCTAAAGAAACCTAAACCCACAGGGCTCTAGGGTTCACTCGACTTCCACGCATAAAAAGAAACGATCATTCAAGAACATGCTTTTTTTTCCATCTAGGAGTACGAAAAAATGATGATGTTGGATTTTTATACGATATTTTTAAAAATATGGTAATTATTACTCATTGTTCTTTGCTCATGTAGATATTATCGCTCAACATTTTTAATATGTTAACGAAAATCCGTTCAAGCACGTTCTCTTTTTGTTACTTTGCTCTCCTATTCATACAGTACACGGTCGGAAGTACCCCAAGTACGGATACGTTTATATATCTTTTGAAAACGCTTATCCCACTATTATTATCAAAGAAATATAACAGAACACATTTGGATTGTCTCTAACATTTTGTTTTTTCATCGCCTTTTCTATGTTAGAGTTTTTTCCTTACTGAGATTTTGTTTTTTTTGCTAGAGATAAACTTTTTTTCTAACTGAGACATTTGACTTTAGTGGCAACTTATACTGCTTTTAAAATCTCTTAAATGTTTCTGTCAAATAAACCTCTACTTTTAAAGCTAACATTCAAACAGGAGCTTGAAGTAGAATCGTCAGATACCACCGTTATATTCGAATAATACTAGTAAAGAAATTGTAGGACTAATTATGTGATGGATAGTAGTCGGAGACAATCTGCTGTTTATTTAGTATCTATCATTGAATAATCTGAGGATTAGGAATAATCTAACTATTCAATTTCATAAGACGTATGTGTTTCTATTGAACACTAGAAAATTGGAATGAAATACATCAGGTATGAGAGATGTGTTCATAGTAGATTTTTGAAACCAGACAAGAAAAGATAAAACAGTTCCTAATACAGAACAAAAAGTAGTATTAACAAATGAAAAAAATGATCGAGTATCAGTTTAATCTCAAAACTATAGCGTCGCCATGTCCATTGGCTCATTTGGAAAGTGAACTGTTGTTTCGAGATCGCGGCTCGACCAATTTCATCAGTAACAAAATTGTTATGTACGGTGTATTAAGAGTGCATGAGCACTAAAACAACATGACAATTGAAATTTTGTTTTTTCTGTTTTCCTTTTCTTTAACTAGTTTTTAAATGGACGGTTAATGCTACATAATGCATATATTGGACACACCGAAGGAAGAAAAACAAAGTATAATTTTCTCCTTTAATATCCAGTACTGAGTTATTCAAACAATCAGGCTAAATTAGTAGTTTTTTGTTTTATTCAATGGTCATAAATATTGGCATTTCTCATTCTGTCTTACTTAATTTTATTTCTTCTCTTTGTGTTTATTTGCTTATCTCTTGTCATGGTTATAGAAAATAATGCATATGTTGTATTTTCTATACTTTATACAAACCTTACACCTTTTTAATATTTACCTCGACGTTTTGTGAGAAATAAATGAAAATGAAAAAGACTTAAGTTCAACATGATTTTTCAATATTTATTTGCATCCAGCAGCAAAACCAGTGTGAGCTCTGACAGCTTTATAGCTGTCAGAGAGCTATAATCGGGCAAAGAATATGTGATTTTCGAGATCAACTATCAAGACTAAAGAATCCCATAATACCCTATAAATAACATCCGGCTTATACTATTCATCTTATTTTAAGAGGCTCATACGTCTTATTTCTGTAATTCACAGAGAAGTTAATCACTTCTTCTGTTTTGCATTGAGCCCTTGCATATAAA